ATGAGCTTAGTGAATACTCTATAGGATCTTGCAGCACTTTTTAAGCACTGAAGTGGCTCTGTAGCAGAATGCTCGAGTGCCTGTGTTAGATTTTGGCTTGAACCCTGACTTTTCTAATTTATTATCTTTTTATTAACCTCACCAAGGTCATGTAAATTTTCGTACTGCACACATTTTTCAAGGCAAACCTTACGTTTCACAAGGGGCACATAAGGCTTTCGTCTAAATAAACACATAATTCAAACAACTGTCAGCGCAGCCATAAGCCAGGCACAATGCATCAGCCCACGACTTCACCAAAGTCAATTAGTGAGCAGTTAACAGGCTGCCTTTATACATAGCATGCTTTGATGTCACTGAAACTGCCGTGTTGAGACAAGTACTTCACCAGAGTCAATTAGTGAGCAGTTAACAGGCTGCCTTTATAGATGGCATGCTTTGATGTCACTGAAACTGCCATGTTGAGACACAAGTACTTCCCCAAAGTCAATGAGTGAGCAGTTAACAGGCTGCCTTTATAGATGGCATGCTTTGATGTCACTGAAACTGCCGTGTTGAGACACAAGTATGTGAAGACACATCATCTACTATTTCCTAAAAGGTGTTATGAAACGTTTTTCGAAAAGGTTCAACTGCATGTGTATTCAGAATCGTGGCCGTCCATTCAGAACTATACCTCGACTAAGTTGATTGAATGGTTACATTCAATTCCCAGCTCACGTTACTTTAGGCCGCCCAATGAAAAAGTCTCTGTCGTCGACAAAACATGGGGACACAGTGACGTTTGCGAAGCCATAGTTGACCGAGGTTCGCGGCGTCACATCGTCTCGATGGCAGCACCATAAAGTAGTCACGAACGTTGTTTCCACTGATAAGTTGTGCAGCACCGTATGACGACGCATCAGTATGCACAGTGAGGATGAAGCCACCCAGAACACGCCGCAGAACCTAATCCAACGCAACCAGCAAGAAAAATTTAGATTTAGACGTGTCCAAGCTGGAAGTACAGGCGTGATGAACGTGCGAGCGCCAGCAACACACCAAAAGCACGTGTTTGAAGCAAGCGTCACCGCCACTCACTGCTTCCCAACCAATCTCAACGGAACGCCAGCGCCACCTTTCGCAACAACGACAAAACGACGCCGCCTCTCGAAGCGAGTTTGCAAACTGAAAAGTATCTAAAAACGTTGACTACCCATTATTCCCATAATCACTGCGACGCTGAACGATGATGATGATGATGATGATTAAAGGCCTCCCCTTTGAATCGGGGTGACGGCATGCGCCATCTAGCCTACCTTAATAGTTCGAGTTTAAATTCTGTCCCTCAACTCGGATGTCTTTTTAATTTTGCCCATCTGCTACTCTTGGCTGGGATGTTATTTTATCGACTTCTCTGCTTTTCCTCCACCAATACTCCAGCCGCTGCTTAGTAATACCTACTGCTGACCAGTTAATGCTTCCATCAACCGCGAAGCCCAGCGCCTCAGGAAGTGTGACCTTCCCCCCATTTCTATCCGGCTGAATCTTTTGACATTCCATGACTATGTGGTCGATTGTTTCTTTATTTATGCCACATCCAACACATGTCTAATCCTGTGACAAATATTTGCTCGTGTAAGTTAGAGTTCTCAAGCAGCCAGCCCGCGCCTCAAAGAGCAACGCACTACCTTTATTGTTGTCATAAAAGTTCTCTTTCCGGATCTCTTGTTTGCTTGCCTTGTAGATTCCCAGCGATCCCTTCTTTTCCATCCTCTCTTTCCACATGAGCGTCTCTGTTTCCCTCACTTGCTTTTTAACTGGCCTCCTTTGTTTATTTGTCGCGGTCAAGTTATATTTAGTCGCCAGCTTTCGCGTCCTCTTCCGCCATTTGGTGTCCACACTTTTCAGGTACACGTATCTGTGCACTCTGGCTGCCCAGTTCTCATCTAAATGTCTAAGTCGCTCCTCAAACCGTATTTTACTTTTTGCTTCCCTCGCCTCAAATGAAGCCCAGCCCATATCGCCTTGTACAGCCTCGTTTGTAGTCTTACTGTGAGCTCCCAGAGCTAACCTGCCGACTGCCTTTTGGTTAACCTCCAGCCCCGACAGGATATCTGACTTTAAGCATAATACGGCATTAGAGAACGTGAGCGCCGGCACCATTACCCCTTTCCAGATGCCTCGTACTACCTCGTACTTATGGTGTCCCCAAAGTGCTCTATGTTTCATTACTGCTGCATTTCGTCTCCCTTTCAGTTTGAGGTGTTCTTCATGAGCATTCAGGTAGCCTTTTCCTTCATTAAGCCAGATCCCCAAGTATTTGTACTTATTTACTAATGGTATGGCTTCCTGTTGTATCCTTATTGGTGCTACATGAGCTTCCTCGTTGAACACCATGACTCCAGATTTCTGTGGGTTAAAATGTAGGCCTAGGTACGTTGCCTCATCACCACAAATGTCAGCCAGTTTTTGAAGTTCTTCCGCATTATCCGCCAGCAGCACTATATCGTCTGCGTACATCAATCCCGGAATCCGTTGCTCCACTAACACTCCATTGCTTCGGTGTGACAAATCAAAGCCCAATCCACTCTCCTCTAGTCGTCTTTCCATTCCTCTAATGTACAGTGTGAACAGCAATGGCGAAAGAGGGCACCCCTGTTTTAAACCTCTTCGAATGTACACGGGCTCTGTGTATGTACGCCCTTCCCATGTAATGTGTGCCTTGTTACCCTCATATATTGCCCTTAGCAGCCCTACAAATTCCGACCCAATCCCCTCCTCTTCCAGTATATGCCACAGCAATCCCCTGTCCACGTTGTCATAGGCACCCTTTATGCCCAGAAACAGTAGCCATGTTGGTCTGCCCTGTGCTGCCGAAATTTCGATGGTCTGGGTTATGATGAAAAGATTGTCTTCCAAGCGTCGACCCGGCCTAAATCCATTTTGCAGTTCCCCTAAAATACCGTTACTTTCAACCCACTTCAACAACTCGGCTTTGATGGCTTGTATAGCTAATCTATAGAGCACTGACGTGACTGTAATCGGCCTGCAAGAGCTCGCCTTGTCCCTTTCTCCCTTGCCTTTGTAGATCAAACTCATTCTACTTTCGCGCCAGTGCGCAGGAATCCTCTTGGATTTTATAGCGCGCTCGATGGCTCCATACAAGTGCGCCTGTCCCGCTGGTCCCAAATGGTTGATAATCTCTATCGGCATTCCATCCAGTCCTGTTGCCGTACTTTTGGGAACACGGTGTTCTGCCTTTTTCCAGTCCAAAAATTCGATATTATTAAATTTTTCATCTGCCACTCTTTTATTTTCCACCTGTGTCCAGTTAGCCGACCTCTCGCGTGCTTGGCCGAAAGTATTTCCTATGACTTCATGTAGGTATTCTAATGCGCTGTCCCCCAGGAGAACGTTGCCGTCCCCGTCCTGTATCTGAGTCTGCATCTTTTTAGTCGTCGTTCCCAATGCTTTTAAATGGTTCCAGAGTTTTCGGGGGGCGCTCTTATCCTTCTTACGTATGTCTGATACCCATTTCTCACTCGCAGCGTTAATCTTCGCTTGTACTAGTTTCTGCACCTCAAATTTCTTTTCTCGGTACCGGCTCCACCGTAACTGCACCTCATCATCCTGATATCCCATTTGCTTTGCTTTTCTGTGCAGTCTAGAGGCCCGTCGTCGCTCTTCAATAGCCAGTTTAATTTCCTTGTCCCACCAGCTTCGTGGTTTCCGTTTACCCCTCCAGCGGTTTTTTTTTCCTTACTTTGTTTATTTCCTTTTGTATACAACTAACAACCTCGTCATATTCCCACACCTTTGTTGGCTGTGCTTCTAATTCTCTTTCGATGCTATTGACGATGTCTGCTATCTGCTTTTCGCTTACTTTCGGGAGCCCAACCTCCTGTGTTTTCTTCCTAGCCCCCCCCCCCCACAGTCAAATTTCAGGATTATACGCCTGTGGTCGCTGCCCAGACCGTTTTCTCCTTCTTCATCTATCGTCATTTGGTTCAACCGCTCGTACGTGTGTTCTGAGACCAGGCCGTAGTCTATGCAAGACTGTCTACTGCCGCTTTGCCACGTTATCTGCCCGTCGCATTTATGTTCCCGGTTAACTATTACCAGTTGCTGTTCTTCACACATATCGATAACCATTGCACCGTTATAGTCTGTATATCCATCCAGATCCTCAATGTGGGCATTTAAGCGTTTGTTACTAAATTCAGAGGATGCCTTGTATTAAAAAAGTTGCTTGTTGAATGACAGCGTCGCGTACGTAGGGCTAATTATAACTACGTTTATGCCTTTTTAAAACATTTCTACGTTATTTTTGCAACGATCGCAGCGCCAAAGTGCCCTCTAGTTAATTTTAGGAAACTTTATGTCACATGGAGGAAGGAACCCACTCGTTCGTGACGGTCATATTTGCATTTCTAGCGTGGTCCGCTTTAGAAAAAGCCGGGCGGGCACCCCGAGTAGTGTCAACGCCTCCTAGATTTCTCGTGCCAGTCGGATTATCGGCGGTCACTTAGAAAAGGGCGGTCGTCGGAACTACGGTGGTGGAGTCACTCAAGTAGGAAGTGTCTTCAAAAAAATTTTTACGTTTTTAGAGCTTATATGCAACAAAAACAACGTAGAAATGTTTTAAAAAGGCATAAACGTAATTATAATTAGCCCTACGTACGCTACGCTGTCATTCAACAAGCAACTTTTTTAATACAAGGCATCCTCTGAATTTAGTAACAAACGCTAAAATTGCAAATCTCAAAGGCTGAGTACAAAGACCCTTAGCTCTACGTACGTAGCGCCGCCACAAGTGACTGGTGTTTCGCGCGCATCCGGCAGGCACAGGAAATCTAGGAGGCGTTGGTAGTGTACTAGAACATACCCCAAACTCAAAATAATTGCTTTCAAAAAAAAAAAAAAAAGCAATGCAACGTCACATCCGGTGAAAAAAGTTTTTTTTTTTGTCTTTTTTTTTACCACACGCATGCGCCGACACTATTAATACCGCGGATTCGATGTACATGTACAAGTCGCGCTCCGCTGCTCGCGTTGATACAAGTTTCTTACATCGGGTCGTAGTCGAGTATCGACCTCTCATTCTGATTAATCGGAAGCGCTAGCTAGCCAGCGGGCAAGGACTGGTAGTTGTTCTGTGGCGAGGGTTGTTAGGGGTGGACTAGCGGCGCTGCGCCAAACCCCGTTGTAGTCGGGAGCAGACGGTTTTTCCTGTGTCTGAACCGCGGCTCTCCGTACCCTCTGCTTTCCCACAACCCGGTTGCCCAGGCGTGAATAGATACGGCTGCAGCTCTTTTCTCCGTCAGTTTGGTGCCGGAATGGAGTGCCTATATGCGGTAAGTGTGGAACATTCAGACGTTTTTTTATCACCGTCTTCATTTAGAGCAATTATTGCTTAAGTTAATTTGACGGGCGCTTTTTCCCGCTGTCGTGAGATAACGTGGCCAGCTGTGGCGAGCAGCTGCTGGGTCTGCCTTGCTAAAGAACAAGCCAGGCCCGGAAAGAACCGAAGAACTTTTACTACGCTCAATAGACTCCAGTCTCTCTTGCTTTCAATGTGTTCAGCAATTTGATTTATGTTCTCTGAACGATATATTCGCTTCGCCGTCACCTACTACGATGCGCGGTTATTTCTCCCTGCCCACTCGACTCGACGTATCAGAGTGGTAAACGATGGGACATTCCTTTCAGCTGTCTATTTGTGTCGATACCACTGCTTTCTAATCTATCACGGCAATTATAGAACGGTGTTGTAAAATTTCAGTGATCTGGTGATGCATTACGAACTTGCAAAGCGAGGAAAGGAATATGACAAGAGGAACAACGGATCAACATAGCTAAGTAAAGAGAGAGAACAATGACTAATTTTAAAAACTGTACGTGGCTGGGAAGCTGAAAAAAAAGTGTGCATGTCAAACTTTTTATAGAGCTGGCCGGTTCACTTAATTTTCGTGAGGTAAACTTGTTCAATTGGCGAAGTTGCAGTCCTTTGATTTCCCCGGAAAGTTTTTTTTATCACTGCCACAAGAGCTAGGAGCTCGGAATATTGGGTTTGCCCATTACATGGAAAACCACTGTTTTCATCATCAGTTGCAGCTTTATGAGGAGTATCTCTCAACTGCCTCAACAGTCTGAACTCTCGAGGTAACATAAATTTGGTAGTAAAGCGCACCAACTGCTGAGCGTTTTCACTTCCTTACTTTTCTTCTATATTGCATTACTTCACTTGTCAACGATGCCTAGGAAAGTTCATAATTTCTACAATTGTTTTGTGCATCGGAGGAGTTCCATGTAAGGTGCCCAATCGCTTGTCAAGCATCGACCTCAGCATTAAGTACTGCCCCATGTGGTATGCCCAAATGCTTTGTTGAGCCGATAATATTGTAATTTATGGAAAGCTATCATCATTGTCAGCCATATATGCCATATTCTCTGGGCATCCAGTGAAAGATCTTTTTTAAAATTTCTTTTGGAGGTCATCCTAGAAGAACACTATTCCAGTATTTAGGAAGCTTTTCATGTCTTCTATTAGTATGAATAGTTGAATACAGGATTGCTTGCAAGAGGTCGTTGAGAATAAAAAGTTCTACGCAGATATACGTAGCGTTGTTCCCCAAGTTGTCTCGTGGCACTGCTCCGGCGGATTGCGACAGAGTATGCTAAATCACTGTCATAGTGGTGTTTTGGCTACTATGCTTGAATGTTTACCCCAAAGATGCTGGTTTGATCCCGGCTGCGATTCTCATTTCGGTGTAAAAAAAAAAAAAAAAGCCAGAAATATGCGTACCATGCAATGTCAGTGCATTTAAAAAAATTCCCTGGTGGTAGAAATTATATGCAGGGTGTGTACAGGTCCTTGAAAACCCTTGAATTAAAAAATGCATTTTAAAGGCCCTTGAAAGTCCTGGAATTTATTGCTGTCCTTGAAAATCCTTGAATTTCCTGAGCAGTGCCCTCTCATATTGGCATTGTGGCCTGCTAAACATGGTGGATCTGTGTGTCAGCCAGTCAAACTTTCCATTTGAAGAGCAGCAGTGCGATGCAGGCCCACATGGTTTCATTTTGCAGAACTGCACATGAAGAATAAAAGTCAGTTTTGTGGCATGGGGGGAGCAGTGAAAGTGATAGCAACAATGTTACACAAACAACAGCAACTCGGTACATGCAGTGATCCACTTAAGCACGAAGGACGCATGAAAAGAACATGCATAGAATGAACGCTAACAAACAACTGTCATGGCTTGACACTTGCAGCGTGCTGCTTAAACACACAGAAGGATGCTTGAAAAGAGTGTGCAGGTATGCACAGGATGAGTGTCAAGTAACAACTGCTCACATTTGCTCATATTATTAAAAAAATCTCTGAGTGACGGCGCATTGCCGGAGGACTGGAAAACCGCCAGAGTCAAACCACTGTTTAAATCTGGTGATAAATCCAGTATTGCAAATTATCGGCCTATTTCGTTGACATCTACTTCATGCAAAATCTTCGAGCACATAATTTATAAGCACCTAGTAGATTTCCTTGAAAAGCATGAAGTCCTAACAGATGCACAACACGGCTTCAGACGTGGGTATTCTACTAACACACAATTACTTGGAATTACACATGACTTCGCGGAGGCTATAAACAAAGGAAAACAAACGGACGCTATTTATATGGATTTTAGTAAGGCATTTGATAAAGTGTCTCGTAATAAATTACTTCACAAGTTCGGCCTCATTGTAACAAATCATACGATATTAGCATGGATTAAAGCTTACTTGACAAACCGGTATCAATACGTTTCCCTAAATAGCACCTGCTCCAACCGAGTTGAAGTTGCTTCTGGCGTACCTCAGGAGTCCGTGCTTGGGCCTCTGTTATTTTTAATTTTTATAAATGACATCGCCACCAACATTAATGTTAAGATTAAACTCTATGCAGACGACTGGGTGATTTATGAAACAGTCAATCCAATTCAGGACCAGATTAGGTTAAATGAAAACTTCCAAAAAATCATTTCATGGTGCGAACAGTGGCAGATGACTATTAATTACGACAAAACGGTCTTTATGCGAATAACCCACAAAAAGAAGCCACTTTTATTTCACTACGGAGCTAATGGAATAGGCCTCTCGGAGGTTGCTGAATATAAATACCTGGGTTTATGGTTCACAAATAATCTATCATGGTCAAAACATATAGATGTCATCACAAATAAAGCGTAACGTAAATTATTCTTCTTGCGACGATCCTTAAAATTAGCAACTCCTTCTGTACGCTTCCTTGCATACCAGTCAATTATATGTCCCATGCTTGAATATGCCATGCCAATTTGGGACCCTTACACCAAAACAAACATCAGCAAATTAGAAAGAATACAGACAAAAGTAGTGCGTTATATTTATAATTCTTTTGGTCGTTCGTCAGTTACTGAGGTCATCAAACGAAGTGGGCTCCCCGCAGTTACGAAGAGAAATAAAATTTGTCGACTGAAACTTTTGTACCAAATAGTTAAAGGACATTACAACATAGATACCTCCCACATTATCACTTTTTCTGAGGGTTATGCTACCAGGCAAAGACACTCTTTAATGATAGCTCCTTTATTTCCATGAAATAATTGCTTTAAATACTCTTTCTTCTGTAGAACTATTGCTGATTGGAACAACCTAACTAATAACATTGTAACACAAGAATCACTTTTATTGTTTGAAAAATGCTTAGAGTAGTTCTTTAGTACCATTGATTATATCTTTTGTTGCATTTGTTCCTTTTTGTGTGTCACTTGTAAAATTCGATTATCAGTTAAACGGAATCTTTTTTCCAGCGATGTATCCTCTGTATATTTTATATACCCTACTTGGCATTTCACTAAAATTACTTCGAATTTTGTTTCGCATCCCTATTTGTGTTGCTTTAACTGTATGCATTATATTGTCCGCGTTATGCATTTTCTGCGTGTATATTATTTTGCCCTTTCAGAATACTGTGTACCTCTGTCTCACACCTGCTATAGTCTCCGTTCGAGACTGCAGTATCAATAAATAATAATAAATAAATAACTGTCACAGTTGTTACTCGTGCACAACCCAATGCTCTTAAATTTTTGTTCTTGAAAACTGCTACACGTAGAGCATGGCCTGTGAGATGTTGGGCCAGCAGGTTTCTCTCTGCCGTCCCAATCGCACGGAGACGGCATAATTTCACAGGTGGGCATGATCGAATCCTCTGCACCGCGCCGCTTGCCACCAGGGCATTATCGAGGCGACTGCAGCAGTTTCAATGCAGCTTCGGGCTACATATACGATTTCGGGCTACTGTATGATGTTCCACCGACTTTTGACTGGTCATTGTGTGCAGCAGTAATGAACCTCTTAGAAACCACACAAAAACATGATGTGCATTTGACACGCTGTGTGCACAGTGGTCGTATCGAAATTTTCTCTGTTGTGCAACTACGGTTATCCTGCGTAGGTGCGCAGCACGACTTATACGGAAGATAACTGCTGAAACGCTCACGTTAAGTTACATAAGCTTGTGAAAAAAAAAAAAAATCAGGTCCAGCCTACGTAGAAGAGGGGCTCTAAATGAAGTGACTGAACTTGTCACCCGGCAACAAACATGCTTTCTTCCACCTATGTTAACACTGCTTCTGGGTCTGAAACAGCCAGACAGACCTGCTGCGGAGGCGAAATCTGTGCTTCTGTAGCTTTCCAGCCTCTCCAGCACAATGCTTCACGCTATCCTCGTAGCTTCCTACAAGTCTATGCTGAAAACATCTCGACCGCTTTTGTGAGCTTTGCGTATTGTGATCTTGAGAAGTTAGACTGGATCATGTCGTTATAATTGTGATATCCATTTATTTATTGTAAGTGCTATAATATCAGTCATTTTTGATAACTTCATAAGGGAAAATTGTAGCTTTGCGTGCCTCTTTGAGTTGCTACTTTGAAAAACTTGCGACAGGTCCGGGAAAGTCCCTAAATATCCTTGTATTTTTGCCTTGGAAACCTGTGTGAACCTTGTATCTGGAGCCGTTCACCTAAAACCCTAGAAACTATGCTCACGTGTTTAAAAAGCACACTTATGCATCTCTCCTGTGGTGAAAACTTTCTTTTTTAAGTTAGTTAAAGGCATCTTGTGCATCTGTACTGTGGTGAAAACGTTCTTTAAATTACGTAAGAGTACCTTACCTGTTACAGCCTTACCAGTGAGGACGTAGTTGTTCATAAAGTAGTTCACTGTTTCGTGCGGTGACGACTATTTCTTCTGCTGCTATAGACAGGGGTCAAACTCTAGAGAAAGGGAAATTGGCATAATCAACCTGCTTGCACAAGTTTTCAGTCTTCAAGAGTGTTGCTTGTTAAGCAAATTCGTACATACACGAAGAAAGCCACTAAAATATAGAATAAGGAGAAACTGCAAGGCATAAACAGTGACAGTGAACACAGAGGTGGCTACTAACAACTGACGTTTATTATGAAAAAAAAAAAAAAAAAAACTCCTAAGTGTGTACAGAGCACGCGTAAAAGCACTATACTAGATCACTGCATCTTATTCACGCAAGTCACCGCTGTTCAAAAAAAATCTCGCTCTTCTCGGGTCAAAAAACACAGAAGCTACGCTTACGCATTTTCCCAGACCAAGTTTCGGAGTAAAGTTAATGCATTAACCAGATTGTCCAACGTATTGCTTATCAAAATTATAAGTGGAATGCTATTCACCACAGATATGTTACATGCATTCACTTTGTCAACGTTTTAGTGGCTTTCTTTCAGTTTAAGTTTCCTGTCTTGTAGCTTTTATTTCAATAGTTGTTGTATTGCATGAAAAGGAAACATTTTCATCACCTGGTTTTTCACAAGGAGCTGTAAAAAAAAAAAAAAATCTATGGAGTTTCCAGGAAGGTTTGTAGTTAATAAAATTCTATGCCATCTAGGAAACCAGGACAACTTTTTGTCAACTAGAAAGCTTTCTGAGAAATCTGTGCAAGTGTCCTCTGTAGCTTCCTGCTACGAATTGGGGGACAAATTTTTCCCTTTCATGGAGCTGCCTTCAGCTCGCATACTTTGAGAGGACTGATTCACCATTGTAGCACAGTTGGTGATAGGCTGCCCCATTCTTAGGCATGGAAAGGAAGAACAGCATGGCAAGAAGTGCCGTAATTCTAAAGTTAGTGATTGTGACTACCAGCCCTGTAGGCAGGATTTTTTAGGGGCGGGGGGGCACAGGGGGTAGTTGAGGAGCACTAGGGCACCCCCACCTTCTGGTTGTGGGCCTGGTGGCTATACTGCATCTGTTGCATTTGACACACAACCTGGCGTGTTGCTGTTTACAGTTATGCATTTGACAGAGGATTGTAGCTTGTAACATAAACTATGTGGGCCCATGTGCCGCAGAAGCCTCTTGAGAGCCCCCTAGTCAATGAAGCAGGTAGTGAGGGCTCGATAAATGACCACTCCAATAGGACCGCTAGGCATTCATTGCGTGGTGTTGACGTGAGTTCCTTTAATTAAGTTGGGGCCATTGCACGAAACTCTGCTACAAGTGTGTTCAATGTGTATGAGTCAGCAACAAAGCCTTCTGCTCTGTGAGAGAAAGTACCCTGGCAGCATAGCTGATTTGTAAGCTCATTGTGCCAATGTTGAATACCTGTTTCAGTTGAAAATCAAGCCAGGCTTTAATGCATACATAAAATATGCAAGAAAGATGCCATAAAACAAGTTTACGTCACAATAAGAAAAAGTGCTTGTTTCAAGTAGATTGATGGGATTGAACATTCGAAAGAGAGAGAATTTGATGGGTATGAAATACGCAAGTGTTTTACAAGGATGCGAGGACAATACGGCAAAGTGCAGAGAGAGGGAGAGCTGGTTAATCAGTGGGTTTGTATAATTGCCTATGTTGCATACTCTATAGGCAAAGCGAGTGGAGATCCAAAAGCTTTAGCAGGAAGGGGAGGCATAATTTTCTGGGCATGAGGGAAGAGCTGGGATCGCTGGTGTAAATAGGATGCTCTTTAACAGATGAACATCATTACAGGGTCTATGAGGGACATGTAATGTGCTCTGGACCAACATGGAGTGCCCCGTTTCACTTATTGTGCATCTAGAGTGCTGTCTATGGATGCTGTTGGGTTTCATCATTATTGGCATGTAGCTGGCTGCTGCTGTGGTAAATTAAATCTGTAGCTTCAAGGTTACCAACAGGACGCGGTAGCCAGTGAGCTATTTTAATGGCTGTTTGTTTAGAATTCAAACATTCGACCAAAACACCGTACGTTGGTATGATGCGGGTGGGAGGTGTTTTTCTGGGCTGTTTTAACTCTGTCATTGCATGTAACGTGAGGTTTTCTTTGGGGGGCTTCAATCGCTTTGTTTCCTGTTCCTCTCTTTCAGGCACAAGCTGCAGTGCACAACCTGCTCCCTACAGAAGATGGTGAGCTTGAGCAAAGCTTGTTATGTTTCTAGTTTTGGGTTTGTACTCCTCGGTTATTCCTGGTATGGTAAAAGTGCATTAAAGGGTCTCTGAAACTGTTTTTCTACATTCCGTAGTTGATTAGACCACTACTGGAGCAAATCATTGGCGCCGTAATTCAATCGAAGTACCCCTTATTAACGGAGCTACGAGTAAAAAACGGGTACCCTCCTCCTCCGCTCCACCTTTCAGCCTCAACTACCCCAACTCTTCCTTCGGGTGCTCGGGGCTATCACAGAGCCTGTGCTGCGTGTTCCACAGCTAATGAGATCAGCAGCCATAGTGACGTCAATGGGGCAAACAATGCCGTTCGGCAAATGGGCAGTTGAAAATGTTTGGCCCGAATCGCAGCGATTTGCAGCGGTTCGCAACTTTAAAGTGTTTTAATAAATTACAGAGTTTACACAGAGAGCTCTAACTGGTTTCCCTTTGGACTTGGTCTACCGGTTCAATGTGTTTGTAGAAGATCGTCAAAACCGTTTCAGGTTCCGTTTAACTGGTGAAAGTAACATATGTTGAGCTACTGCGCCATGCATAATTGGTCAGACCCATGAGGGGGGAGGTGGGGAGCCATAAAATGAAGAGGGATGTCAAGCAAAGAGGACAATCCCTCCAGTGCAGGGGCGTAGGTAGCAATTTTTTCGGGGGGGGGGGGGGGGGGGGACACCTCCTTGAGCTGTTTTGGGAGCCGATCAGGCAAATGGTCATTTTGTGCTCTCTATGCTATGGGGAAAAAATTTTGGCGTGGGCCACTAGCCCAGTGTGCCACCCTTTGGCTGTGCCACTGCACTATTGCTGCAATGTGCAGGCTTGCCTATGATATTTCAAGATGCTAGATTATTTCAGCAAAGTATGCAGGTGACATTGTTCTCTTCATATATGGGTTTGAGCACTAGTATCCAAAAATAAACATTTATTAACCTTGAAAACAGAAAAGACTGTTAATGGTAACCTGTGTCCTGAAGACAGGCTGGATTGTAAGTGAAGCGGTCACAGAGGATGAAGGAAAGAAGTGTAATTTTAAGGGCTCGGTTTTCTTTGTTAGATACAATATTAAGAACTAATGTATAGTTCTCATTAACATTGGATCACAGAGGATCTGGCTTATGCAACAGAAACCTCAAGACAAATAATACTCTATTGAAGTCACTGGCAGATAAAGAGAAAGGGTATTGGGGACCTGTATTTGCACCCTTCTTTTTTTTGTAAGCAACTTTGACGAATCATGCATGGAGCAAGCATTTTTAATTTATTAGCGACACACTTGAAACGAGACATACACTCAATGCATCCTGCTTGTAGCGTAGTGGTCTTACACTTTTGGAGTGAGAATAATGTCTAAATACCAATATTTATGCAAGTAGTTATAAAATAGGAAATGCTAGTGGGAACATTAGAGGTGAAAACAAGAGAGTAAGAGTGGTGTGTACAGTGTTAAGTTGAAGCAATTTAGAGGAAAACTGGGTAGGCCATAGAGAACATATGCAGTATCGTACTGCATATGTTCTCTATGGAAAGCTTAAGCTAATGCTTGACTAGCAGACTGCATCACTAAATCATCAATTAGATGGTGTGGTGAGACAGACATATCTGGGATATAACTTCCTGCTTCAAATAGGTTCCTTGTAGGGCTGTCACTGGCACATCTACAAGTTTCATTTTGCATGGTGATAATTGTGATAATACATTACAAAAAGGAAATGGCCGCTAAATTCTTGATGTTACAATTTGCATTTTTCATGCTCATGCAGGCTTTTCTCATACTGTTATTTCCACACAGTGACAGAGGAACAGTCGATAGTATGTAGGGACTAAAGATTTGAATTTAGTGTAAGTGCATGCTCACTGTTCAACAACTCAACTTTGAGGTGTAAGGTCATGTGATGTATAGGCACATGGTCATCTGTTGTGACTAAGCTTGAACACAAGCTACGTGTTTGCACATGTCAAAATGCCAGCAGTAGTTTGCTTCTGCTGCTTTTGTTTATGACAGTATCTGGAAGCAATACGATGAAGTGCGAAAGGACTCGGTGGAGTAACCAATGGTTGGTTCGGGAGGAGGACTCTCCCCTTCCCCTGGCAGTATCTTGGAGCAATATGATGAAGTGCGAAGGGACTCGGTGAAGTAGCCATAGGTTTGATCGGGAGGAGGATTCCCCCCCCCCCCCCCCTCGAAATATATTTTTTGAGTGCATGTGCACCTTGTGAACAAAGGCTCGCTGGGGGCTGCAATAATCTGCTCTGGGCTGTTCTTGATGTGACCCAAAAAATACACTGCCGAGGCTGTGACGTCGCCTTCTGACTCTTTTTGCAGCAGTCCAGAAAGGAAGTGGCCCTCCTGTCTTTTAAAGAGTCGACACACTCGCGCTAACCTTTGCCCCTGGAGGGAGCCTTGTAATGGTGCCTACTGAAAGTTAAATAAATATACAGACCCTAATTGACGTACATAAAGGTGGCAGGGGTAGGACGAACCCTCAACCCCCGACAAAAGAAAATTTTGGCTTTGCCTTCAGTAGGGTTGTATTCTGCCGCTAGATTAAAATTTATGGTAGCGCCAGTGAAGAGCCGTATGTGCCTGCCGCGAGTAGGTGAATCGGGGGAAGAAACTGGTTCAGAGAGCTGGTCAGGAGGTACTATCAGAAGGGAGGACCAGGGATGTAGACAAATTTTCATGCGGGGGGGGGGGGGGGGAGCTACTTCTAATCGCATTTTTTTTTGCTTTGTATGCCATGGCGAAAAAAAAAAAGATGGGAGGGGAGGGGGGGGGGGGGGCAAGGGCCCGGTGTGCCACCCGCTGGCTGCTCTATTGGGAAGGACATTTGGGCGTGTTGGTAGTACGCCGTTCTTCTGAAACCGTAGCGCACTAAACGAACGCGAGACTGATGCAGACGGGACAAGCGCTTGTCGCGTATGCATCGTTGTCTCGTGTTCGTTTAGCGTGCTACGGTGTGTTAGCATGTCTCGCGTTCGTTTAGTGCGCCGTGGTTTATGAATCACCTTCAAAAGTCCGGAGATGCTACGCCTCGACGACCGAAGCGTAGTTGGGCGCATGCTCTCGGCAATATTGTCCGATGGCGGGCCACCGAGCGTCCGCCTCATGACGTCAATCGGGAGTGCCGCCGTATTCGATTGTTAACCTTTGTAGTTTGTATTTCGAACATGGACAGTGTTACTGTAGACGCATGCGCGTGAAAACAGTTGGGTTGCTGCATACGATGTTTGAAAGTCTTATTCACGTCGCGATATATAAAAATAGGAAAACATCGCCTTAACAGCCCAAGAGTGTGGCGCACAGATATCTTACGGAAAGTAGCCACAGAACCGTGTCTTCCTCTGTCCGCATCTCGGTGCTTGTATGCACGCGTTGGCTTTGAATAATGCTGCCTAGGCTCTTTACTCGAACGATTCCTCGTTTTGTCGAGCACTTGCTGCGTGACCTGAACCACCGTGGTGGTGTGGACCGTTGAGGCCCAGGCAGAGCATTGACCTTAAACGAGGGGCACTCTTCCGAGGGGCGGAACAAAGGGAAGGCTTTCGGTCAATGTCGTCGTGTGCGAGTGACATTCCGTAGGTCATCACGCGGCGGACGAGCTGTCGTTTTTGTGGCACTCCTTCCGTCCTTTGCTACAGAGTCCACGTAGCTCATCGCTCATTCGGATAATTAAGCGATTTGAAAGCGGGTGCTGGGACGAGTTATGAACACCCCTGCAGGAATTCAGCCGGTTGAAGAAACGATAAAGGGAAAACAAAGGATCGGCTTAGATTAAATGGTGATACATGATAACTCTAATGTCAATAGTTTTACCATTTCAAGGTCAAAGTTTGTTTTAAGTTTCGCGCTGAAGCCGCCGCGGCATGACGTCGTGGATTTAAGTGTATTTTTCGTATTTTGGCGCCGTTTACTCAACAAAAAAATCTCTTTAACGGTATGATATGTCTACGGCGTTCCCTCGGAGGATATTGTACTTTCATTAAGGGTTCTTAGCAAGCTACGGAAACACGTTACGGGAAGGCGGCAACACGGAACCGGCTAACGAGTACGCATGCGCGACCAATGTACGCGCATACTGAAAGGAACCGGGTCGTATTTCCCTAACGTGTCTTCGTATAGCCTGCTAAAACCCTATAATAGAGGTTTATAGCAAGCAATAGACTAGCAGATGCCGTCAAAATATACGCGTATTACGTCATGGCGATTTTTGCCTTCTTTGTACTCCGACGGAAGTTTTCCCGGATCCGAACTGCGAGAGCGCTGTTTATGTGACTAAAGCTCAAGTAAGCAATTGTGTGGGAAGGTGGTGTCTCCACGCACATTTTAGTTTTGCGTATATTCTTGCTTTCCAAGCGTGTTAATCTTGGAATTGGGGAAATAGCAATTTATCATCGTAAGAAAAATTGTGATAATGGGCCTGTCAAAATAAATGACGTCACTGCATTGGATGGCGGGCACATATTTCCCACCGCCCAACGCTTCTTTTTGCGCGTTTTTTTTTTTTCGCACACCAAGAGTCTTCTCTCGGTAAGCTGGATGATCTTGGAATAGGTGACCGGTAAAATGGGCAATCGCAGGGCACTGTGTAATACGTCGGCTTTTTGTTCGACACACCACGCGGGTTAGCAGCGGCACGCCTGCACTTTTGTATCGCTCCGTTGAAAAAAGCACCTCTCCGTGCAATGTCAGTGCTTTAGAAGTTTGCTTTTTTTGGTTTCTGCTAGCCGTGACTGCGACAATTACCAGCTAGGAAAGCCATAAACAGTAGGGAAGCTTTTTGCCGCACCAAAATGCTGTGCAATGCTTTTATGCTGCTCGGGGGTACTGTCAGTTTTGTTAACAGATCAGTCCATACTGAAAACAGTTTTCATTGTATGACACCTTACTGCAGATATAAAAATAATGATTTTAAAGATCTCAGGGGTTGGTGATGACTCTATATAGCAGTGTGTTAAGAGTTAATTTCAGG